CCCCCCCCCCCCGCCCCCAGTGCTGAGCTTACAGGCTAGCACTGCCCAGCTTCGCCTGTCCGCTGGTGCGGCTGAGCTCACAGAACTCTCAGCAGCCCTTTTACCACTTGAGGGAGCCCAGCTGACTGGGCTGGGTCCTCCACCTCCACCAGGGCTCTCCCCTGCCAGCGGAGGCCTCCCACTTCCTGCCTGGCCGCTGCCCCTGGCGGACTCTGGACCTGCAGGGAGCAGCCGGGACCAGGTGCTGCCTCCAGGCTGGCTCCCAGCGCACCCCTTCCTCCCAGAGCCGCCCCTGTGTTGCTGGTGGAGGCAGGGGGGGGCTGTAGGCCCCACAGGGCAGTAGTACATGAGGATGAGGGGCTTTGCTCTTCACAGGGCAGGGAGACCCCGAGATCAGCCCCCAGCCCTGATCTCTGGTTACCATTCCTCTGTGCCTCAGTTTCCATCCCTGGATATAAGGTGGGGGACAGAGCTGCGTGCCACAAGGCTGAGCCTCTCAGAGGTCACCGCTGCATTCCTCCTTCACTTGCCAGGCACTGTGTGTGATTCAGACAGAAGACCCCAAGCAGCCAGAAATTACCCAGGTAATGGCGGGCTGGTGAACAGGAGCTTGACTGGGGGGTCTTTTGTGCTGAGGTGGTGGGGGACATCTCCCTGAGAAAAGGGGGTTTTCCCGCTGAGGCTGAATGCTGAGGCAGGGTCATGGGACGGCGTGGGAGAGGGCCGGGGGAACAGCCAGTGCAAGGGTCCTGGGGCCGGGAACTGCTGGGTGCTTGATTAGCCAGGGGCGGCAGGACAGGAGGAGGAAGGCAGCGGAGAAGCCAGGGGAGGACTGGATTTTACTCTGAGAAAAGTGCGGAGCCACAGGAGTGGAGCCAGAGGAACTATGGTTTTTAACCGGATCCCTCTGTGGGGACAGGGTTTCACGGTGTTTGGGAGATTTGGATCTGACCCTGCCCTGCAGGGGACAGGCAGAGGCAGAGCAAGGGCAGGGGTGAGGCCGGGAGAAGGAACAGGACAACAGCTGGTTTTCACAGCGTGGTTGAGGAAGCCAACCTCCCAGGACAGGTGAACACAGACTTGAAGCTAGTGAGGAGATTGGGGGGGGGGGGCAGGATGGGCAGAAGGAAGGGCAGGTGCAAAGGCCCGGTGGTGGGAACAAAGGGTAGACTTAAGACAGCCAGCTGGGTGGTGCACTGCTGCAGTCCCAGCGCAGGGCAGAGGCAGGGCTCTTGAGTCCCGGGCAGTCCCGGGCTACATAGTGAAACCTATTTCACAAGTCAAGAAAGTGGGCCTGGACATAGGACAGTGATACGGTGCTTGCCTAACATGCACAAGGATTCGAGTCTGATCCCCGGCCCTGCAAACAAAATCAAAATGAGCCGGGTGCCAGTGGCTCATGGCTGTCATCCTAGCTACTCAGGAGGCTGAGATCTGAGGATCGCAGTTCAAAGCCAGCCCGGGCAGGAACATCTGTGAGACTCTTTATCTCCAACGAATCACAGAAAGTCAAAAGGGGAGCTACAGTTCAAGTAGTAGAGCACTAACCTTGAGCAAAAGCTCAGGGACAGTGCCCAGGCCTTGAATTTAAGCCCTAGGACTGGCACAAAAGATAAACGAAAAAGGCACCATGAGCTTGGCTGTGTCCTTCTCAAAATCCTGGCTTAGTTTGTGATCCCATTTTACAGATGGAGAAACAGAGGCCCGTAGAGGCCGACGGTGTGCCCCGGAGCTCACAGCCTGCAGAGGACACAGCTGTCGTGTGAGACGGGCAGAGGCTGGAGAGGTCGGAGGGGCCTGAGGGAAGTGGGCAAGCTGGGCTCAGCGTCCACACGGGATTGGGTTTGCGGGTCGGGGATTCCTTACGCAGGGAGAGAACCTGGGGCTCAGAGATGAGCAGCTTGTGTGCAGCGACACAGCTCAGGGCAGTCAGGGAGGAGCTGAACACCTAGCACTGGGGGTTCAGAACAAGGTGGTCTCAGCTTCTAGCCGCTCTGACTGCCTCCAGGAGTGGCTGAAGGTGGGAAGGAAGGCCGGCCTGCCCGGCCCCATTCCTCCCAAGCCTTAAGAGGACACCACCCAGGCAAGGAAACGAGCATTCATTAGATGCCTGGTGCATACCAAGCTCTTAAAAAATGTAGCTACCACCCTACACAGGGAGAGGCTGGAAAGCAGGAGTCCATTGCTCGTCCTCCAAGTGGCCGCCCTGGGCCTGTGTGCCACCACCCTCAGTGCCTGGTAGCCAGAGAGAGATGAGCTTGGCTGTCCCAAGCTCACCAGTACTTCCCACCACAGGGCCTTTGCACATGCTCTTCTTCTGCCCGTCCCGCCCTCCCCTCACACGCCAGGCCCCTCCTTACCTTCTACCGTCTGAGCCGGGCTCCCCGGAAAAGCCAAATGTTGTTCTGGTCCCCAACACTCCACACGCCCTCCCTGTCACATTTCCTTCTTCCAAAGTCAGTCAGCCCTGGCAGATTTCTTTCCTGGCATGTTTACCTGCCGCTTTCCAGCCGCTCTCAGCGCTGAGGGCGCGGCCGCCTCCCCAGGTCGGGAAGTTACTGGGGGGCCCCTGCCGTGTAGGTCCGTTTGTCCCTCCGGGCCCGGCGGGGCGGGTCTTGTCCGGGGATGGTGGTGTGCCAGCTCTGCCCCGCGAGCGGTGTGACCCTGGGCCGGTGCCCGACCTCTCCGTGCCTCAGTTTCCCCCTCAGGCCGAGCCTCAGTTTCCTCCCGCAGGTGCGGCGGTGAGGGGAGCGGGGCCCCCACCGACCCCGCGGCCCCGCGGCCCGGGCCTGGCGCAGCATGAAGCTGGACGAGCGCAGCCTGGCCCGCTACGCCACCTGCGACGC